AAACTTAATATTTTAAAGAAAGTGAAATATATTAAAAAAAATAAATATAAAATAAATTACAATTATGAATTGTTATACATTAATAAACAATTACTTAATTTAAACAGTATATAAAAAAATTGAATTTGTATTAAAGAAATATAAATGTTAATTATAAATATTGATTATAATTTTAAAATAAAATAATAATATGAATAATAAATAAAATAATAATAAATAATATAAAAATATATTATAAAAACAATAAATATATAATAAATATATAATAAATATATGATAAATATATAATAAATAATAAATAATAAATAATAAATAATAAATAATAAATTATAAATAATAAATAATAAATAATAAATAATTATATATAATATATAATATATAAAAAATAAAAAATAAAATGTATAAAGGATTTACTTGGTAATAATAAAAAAAAAAAAAAAAAAAGTAAAAATTAGATTTGTTTAGGGTGTCTTGTATTGGATTGGTTGAATTGGATTTTTTTTTATTGTACAATAAAAGGTATTGCTATAAATTATTTTATTAATTAATAATAATAATAATAATAATAATAGAGAATAATACTAAAATAATGTTAAAACAATCATAGTTATAATATAAATAATAATAATAATAATAATAATAATAATAATAGAATAAATTGATTATTATTAAAATAAACGATAAATAATAAATTAAAACAAATTTATAATATAATAAATAAAATCTATAAAAAAAGAAGTTGTAGTGAAAAAGAAATTTAGAATTATGTTTAAGATTGGTATAATACTTTTAGTTGGATTATTTAGCGATGAAATATTTATCTAAAATAAAAATTACAGATATTTGGCAATATTATAATTAAATAAATAAAAAACAGATTGTTAATAATAATAAAAAAAAAAGATAAAAGTAAAAATGATGACTTGTTTAGGTTAGAATTCGATTAGGTTGAATCGGAATTGATTGGAATGAATTTAATTGGGATCGATTGTATTTCATTAGATTGTGTTAGATTAGGTGAATCGGATTTTTTTATCAGTAAAAGTAAAAGGTATTGGAATAGGTTATTTATTTATACATAATAGTAATAGAAATAATGGTAATAATGGAAGAATAGCAACAAATAATGTTATAATAAAAGTAATAGGAATAATAATAACTTCATTACATTTAGGTTTTAGGGTATAAAATAGATAATCAAAATTAATTTAATTAATCAAAATTAAAATTATATAAAAAAAAAATTTTAAATAAAAAATAGTTTATTATACATATAAATTTATTAAATAAACATTTAAGAAAATAAAAAATGTAATTTTTTTCTTTTTCTTTTTTTACTTTTCTTTAGTTTTTTAGTTAATTTTTTTATTTTTTAATATTAAATTATAAATAATAAATAATAATCAAACATTTAAAAAAACAAATAAAAAATATAAACATTTTGTATCATCACCAATGACGATATACATAAAAAAGGCCAAACTAATGCTTAACAATTTTAAACATTTTCTATTTTCTATTAAATGTATTGGTCAGATGTAGCAAGAAAAAAGTATAATCAATAAAAGTTAGGGTCTACATATATTCCGGGCACTGTAATATTTATAAATTAAAAAAAATAGTTAAATATTATTGTGAATGAAAATATAGAAATATAATAATAAATATGATAGATAAATATATTTACTCCAAGAAAACTGAAATCGATTAGGTGAACCAAAGCTTTTATCACAAACAAAAAAAATAAATAAACTTATTTTAATTTTAATAACAAATTATATTAATTTTATTTTCAATAATTGGTAATTGGTAACTGTTAATTATACCATAGTTTTTTATTTATAATTTTTTTTTATGTTTTATAAAAAAAAATAGTATTAACTATTTATAATTTTATTGTAATACTTGTTGAAGAAGTACTACTTTGATTAACATTTTGGGCATTCTTAAGTAATTGAACTTGACCAGCAGCAATAACTTTAAAGATTAAAACATATGAACTTCTGTATTGCACAGAGATACCGTTTTGGCTCATAAAAGATAAAAGTTCTGGTGTCATATTGGTAAAAGTATCATCAACAGCAATTACAACAATATAAGAACCAACAGTTTGTTTTAAATCATTGAAACGATTAATAAAAACTTGGGAGGAGTTGGTATTTTTTCCATCGACAAATAAATCGGAAGCATTGAGTTTAACATCATATAAATTGTTTGGTGAAAAAGCAAAAGTATTTAGACCTCTACTGTTTGAATGAAGTACTAAATCATTGATTTTTAATGTACCAAAAGCATAAGGACCACCAACTGAAGTAGCAGTAATACCGAAATTTGTTGGAGTGGTAACACCATGTGAACAGCATAAGTTTTCAAGGTAACCTCCTGGTTGAATAAGAGTTCCAATTAATTTGCTATAATCAGCTGGTTTCCAACAAGCATCTCTTGAAAGAGTATTACAATCATTACGATAAACTGGAGCAAAGAAATAGGTGAAAATACCTGAATCGTAATAAGTAATACCTGAATTAAGGTTTTTGAAAGAGGTTAAAAGAGCATTTCCTTTTTTAGTTCTGAATGCATAAACTAAAATTGTTTGATAAATATAGTGATCTCCATCACATAATTGAACATGCCATTTTTGTGGCTCATCAGTAGTAATTGGAATAGTATACTTGTAAAGTGAAGTAACATCAAATGAATTATCCATTAAACTAATGACATCATCAATTTGATCTTTGAGATCATTGGTAGCTTTGAAATTTTCACCTACAAAACCTTTTAAGGTTTGAACATCAGAGGAACATTCACATTGAGTTTTGATTAACTTTGAATAAACAGTGACTGGGAAAGTTTCAAATGAAATATTATCAATTTCGGTAGCTTTTAAATAAACTTGTTTTGATTGTTTATTTTTAACTAAAACAGCTGAGTCTGGACCACATTTTTGTTGGAGATTGTTTAAAACTTCAGCATTGTTTGATACAATTTTTAAGTTTGAATAGTCAGCAGAACAAGCTTTATTTTTACAATCACATACATTTAAAATTTGTGGTTCCTATAAAAAAAAATAATTAGAATTTATTAAAAAAAACTTATTAATCATTTTTAAATATAATATTTACCATTTTTTGTTAGTTTATTTAAATATTTCTTTATTTGATTTAATAAATGATAATGAAAAAAATTAAAAAATAATTTGAATAAATAGTAAAAAAAAATTAAAAATTTACTTATTGAATCTTAGAGCGATGAGAATTTTCAAATCTATGATTTTAAATATATTTTATAATAACTTTAAAAAAAAAATGGTTTTTAGAAAATGTTATTCCATACACAAATAAATATCTTTTTCCACATTTTAGAGAAGTTAAACTAATCATTTTAACACAAAAAAAAAAAAAAAGAAAAATTTTAAAAAAATAAAAAATTAAAATTGGGTTGAAATGTTATTAAAATCAATAATAGCCCATTAAATATAAGCTATAAAAATCCGTTATAAATTTTTTTTAACCCAATAAATTTTACCCACTATCCATTATTTTCTTATTGCAAAAAAAAAAAAAAAAAACATTTTTGGGCAATTCTCGAATATAAAAGATGATAATATTTAAAATCCACCAATTGATTTATAATAATAATAAATATGTTATTATTTTATCTTTTTTCAATTTATTTTTTAAATTCGGGCTTTTCTAAAAAAAAAAAAAAAGTAATCAATGATGAATGATATTTAAAAAAAATATTTTATTTGAAATTTTTTTTTAATTTTTTTTTAATTTCTTACAGTGGTTAAAAATTACGAAAATGGATTTAAATCTCATTCTTAAAAAATATGAAATATGAATTGTTGTTTTAGATTTTATAATATCGCGCGATGTATTACACCAATTTTTTATTTTTGTGGGAAATTATAAAATGATTTTTTTTTTTTTGAAAAGCCCAAAAGTGTTTTTAAAAATCCAAAACTATTAGATTTTTAAAATGTGGTTTTCTTTTAATAAATATATGTGAGAAATTTTACTTTACCAAACAATATTTTCTAACAAAAAAAAATTAAAATTAAAAATTTGAAAAATAAAATATATTTTTTATTAATGTAAATATTATTATGACTGCCATTTGTAATTACTGATGTATTATTCCTTTGATAATGATTCTTATAACTGTTTATATTATCTTTTTGAAATTTATAAATTGATCAATTATAAATTAAATTGTAAAAAATATAAATATAATTTAAAAAAAAGGAAAAAATATTGTGAAATTAGTTTTTTTTATTTTTTTATTTAAATTTATGGCCCAAATAGCCAAAAACTATAATAATCCCCAATATTCAAACTTTCTGCAATCTAAATAACATTGAGGTGTTGACTTTCAGAAGTTGCGATATTCTTTTTACTTTTTTTTTATTAAATTAATTATAATTAATGTATTTATTAGTTAATATTTATTATATTTTTAAAATATTTAAAAAAATAAATCATTGTAAATTATAATTGCGATTTATATATGGCTCTAAATAAAAAATTTAAAGATTAAAAAAAAAAAGAATTTTATTTATAATTATTTATTTGTTTGTTTCTATTAAAGATAAAAGCTTTTCAGATATATCAATTATATTTCCTGTTAATTTTTGATTTTTAAACGTAATTGAAGAATTGTTTGTTTGTTGTAAAAATGTTGAAGCTTGAAACTGATTGGGTTGTTGAGGAATAATTGATAAAGACCTATTAATTTCTTTATTTTTCTTTTTTTCATTTTGTAAATCTAAAAATAGTTGATCTATAGCTTTACTCGTTGTTTGATTCTTTAAATTTAAACTTTTACTTGATTGGATTTGACTTTCTGAAATAAAAGAATTATTACCAAAACTATTAAATGAATTATTATTGTTATTATTATTAATATTATTAATATATTTGTTTGGTTTTGAAAATTGATTATTTGTATTAAGATCTTCTAATTTCATTTCATCACTAAATGATACTCTTTGATGTTTTGTTGGAGTTGAATTTAAAAATTGTGATTGTCTTTTTAATGGTGATTTATTAATATTATTTAATTTAGATTTTGGTTGGTGATTATTTTCAATTACTATTGAAATGATATCTTTTGATTGCTTATCCAAATTATTAAAATCTAATAAATCTTTTACTAATTGATCACTATAAAAACTTGATATAAATGGAAGTTTACCAATCTGATATGAAAATATTATTTCAAAAATTAAATGCCATGGAAAAACTATTAAATAACTACTATCTAAATTATTTAAATTAAATTTAACTAAAATTAAAAAAATAAATATTATATTTATCTAAAACTATTGATATTAAAGAGAAATTTCTTACCAAACAATTGTAAAAATTGATTAAATATTTCACCTATTTGATTTTGAATATTTAGAGTATCACCTTTATCATTCTGATGTTGAGATACCCAATTAAAACATGCACCAATAATTGAATCTATTGAATTTTTGAAATTTAAAAATTTTAAATTGCCACCTTCACTAACACCACTATCATTATTATTATTTAAACTTATCCCTATTAAAGCTTTTAATTCGTTTGGTAAATCTTTTAATAAAAGAAAGTTCTTTAAAGATTTAATTTCATTAAAAGTATTATCAGTATTCCATTCAATAGATGACAAACTTGAAAACTCTGAAATTGGCCACTGAATTGATTTTAATGCTGGATTTGTAATATAACCTATTAATTGATCTATTATTGAATTATAATAATTTATAAAAGACTGCGGTGTTATTAATTGTTGATTACTATTATTATCATTATAGTTTTTTAATAATATTGGTGATTGGAATTGTTTAAAATAATTTTTGAAAAGTGGTGAGACTTTTGATAATAACATTGCATCTAATACAGACGATAATGGCTTGATATCTGTAAAAGGGATTGGTGGAGAATTTGTAACTAAAAGTTGAAGGATATCTATAAGCTGATTATCATTATTTGAATCGATTTCGTTTAATTGAATAATTTTATAAAATTTAATAACATTTTTAAATAAATTTAAATTATTATTTATAAATTGATTTAAACTATTTAAAATCGTTTGATTATTATCATTGGTTACTAAAAATATTATTGGTATTTTTTGTGATATATCTTCTATTTGAATATTTTTTAAAATAAATAATAATTGTTTTGAATAAATTTCATTAAAATTATTTGAAATATGAAATAATATTGATGAAGTTCCTCTTAAATAACTATTATAATTATTACTATTATTATTAGGGTTATCATTGATTGTAAATCTATTAATACATATACTAATTGATCTTTTTGAAATTTCTATAATATTATTATTTTGATTTAAATATTCAATATGATATTGTTGGGTTGTACATAAATTTGTTATAAAATTATTATTATTATTATTATTATTATTATTATTATTATTATTATTATTATTATTATAAGATAATTTTTTTGAAATTATTTTTGATTCTTCTAAATTATTTGAAAAATTACAATAAAGTAATTTCCAAAATAAAGGTTTGTTTTTATGATTATTTAAATTATTTTGATTTAAACTATTATAAATGTAATATGGAATATTAATTGGTTGAATATTATTTATATTAATTGGATTTTTAACTATATTATTATCATCTAAATGATTAATTATATTTTCAATTTGATTATTTGATTCTCTTTGATTATTGTAAATATTTAGAATCTTTTGTTTTTCCAAAGTAACAATTTGTTTTTGATGTTGTAGTAATAATTCTTCATTAGGATCAAATGAGTCAAAACTTGTATATATATCTTGTATTTGTTTTTTTTGGTTTCTATAACGTATTGCTTGGAATCTCCAACATCTAAAAAAATATGCTAATAATGTGGTTTCTTTTTTCTCTTGAGGGGTTTTTTTGATCTTTTTATTTTGGACAATAGTTTGTTCCTCTTCAATTTGACTTTTTGGGAATGGTATTGTTGGACTTGAAGCTAAAGTTTGAATACTCTTTGTTAAATTTTGAGGTGAAGTAATTGGTGATTCATTAATTATTTTTGGTTTAACTTCCGATACTGGCATAGGTGAATAAAAATTTACATCAAAATCTTTTGATTTGTTTTCATAATGAACACTCATAGGAGTTTGTGGTATCTTATTGATTGCTTGTGGTGTTGAAAGTTTCATTTTAGTTGGTTCTTCTCTGCCAACCATTGGTGTAGAAGGAATTTTATTTTCATTATTCTTTACAATACCAAATGGGATTTTAAATTGTTCTTCTTGGTTAATGAGAGGTTTTGTTGGGGTTGTATTATTAAATAATGATGATGATGATAATGGTTCTATAAGTTTATCACCTTTATCTATTATTGATATTTTTTCTTTTGAAAACAATAATGACTTTGTTTGTTCTTCTGGTGAATTAATTGAAATAGATGGCATTGAAAAAATTGAATCTTTTTTTTCTGATGTGGATTTAATTTTTGAATCTTGTTCGTTAAATGAACTCGGTGGGGTTTGTATTTTTGGTGCAAAAATTGAATAACTATTGGATTGATCTTGTGAAGATGATGCATTTGAAAATATAGTTGAAGTATTTGGTTTAATAGTTGGTGAATTTGAAAATATAGATGTTGAGGATGTTTGAAATATTGAAGGTGTTTCTATTCCTGTTGTTGATGGTATTGTTGTTACTGGTTTTGTTATTGGGGTTGTTGCTGTTGGTGTTGGTATTGGTGTTACCGAAGTTGGAGTTGAGGCTGTTTGTTTAATTTTATTTATAGTAGGGGGTATTGAAGATAATTTTGAATCTGTTGTTCCAAAAACTGAATTTTTTAAATCTTTATTAAATATACTATCATTAATTTTATTAGAAACTGGAGTTATTATTGTAGGGGGTGCATTATTATTGACTTTTGGAGTTGTTGTTGTTGTTAATTTATTTAAAATTGGTGATTTATTGTTAATATTTTCAATAGGTTTTAAAGTTGATGGAATATTTGATTTGGTTGGTGTAGTAATTGTTTTAAGTGGAACTGATGTTTGGGTAATTTTTTTTATAATTTCAGTTTTATTGAAATTTATAGTTGGACCAGATAATGCAATTTCATAATAATGTTTTGAGAGTTTTGAATCTTCTTTTAAATCAACATTATCATAAATTAAGATATTTTGATATGATTGATCAAAATCTAAAAAGCATTGTTTATATTGTTCAATTGGTGGTGATTCTGGTTGATCAATAATTTGTTTAAATGTTGGTGGTGATCTTGACATAATAATTGATGATCGTTTTGGTGTAACTTCACTTGAATCGATATCTATTGAAGAATTAATGGCCACTTGATCAGATTGTAATGAAAGTGAACCAACTGAATTAATAAAATGTAAAGCTTCTCTTGGATCTGAATACATTAATAAATTTGATAAGTCAGATAATGGATAAAGTGTACTTTGAGCCCTTGGAATACGATATGAACGCATAATACGCTTAATGGCGGTTTTTCTAACAACAGTAAAATATCTATGGAGAATACACATTTGTAAAAAAGTTCCATTTAGAGCCAATTTGAAAAAACGGCTATAATTATCGGAACGATATGCTTTCCATACCTCTATAGCATATTGAATGAATGGATGATGGAAAATTTGTCTTGGAATATCAATCATGTATGAAACAAGATCATAATTGTTTTGTAAATTGTTTAAAATATAATATGCGCGAAACTCTGGTTCGTTCTTTGAAATTAATCCATTGGATGATCTATAATGGTCATTATAAAATTGTTTGATTGAAGTTAAGCAATTATTTAATTGTTCACGATTTTGAAACTGATTAAAGTCTTTATCTGGTAATTCACATAGATAATGATGTGATAAAATATGAAAACGTGTGCATCTTTCGTGAATATCGATAGAAATACCATCCTTGCTATGTTGTGAAGTTAAATCTTGTCTTATACTTCTAGTTCTATCTCTAATAAAATTTTGAATCTCTGCAAATGGAATTCCTCTTTGTTCTTCTTGATCAATAATTTCACTTGTAATATAATTCATAACTTTTAATAAAATATGAGGTGGTCTAATTTCATCAGGAGGTATTTCTGTATAATCATCTGCAACATTCCTTTTGTATTTCTTTAATAACACCAATTCACCATTTTTTGTTTTTTCTAATGTTGAAATATCACCAGACGACACTCTATGACTCTTTTCTTTCGCTGGTATAAAATCTAAACACAATCCAATTTTGTGATTTAGTTGTTGATTTGTTGGGTTTATTGATATTTCTGTGGTTGTAGTAGTTGTTTGATTTTTATTATCATTTTCAATTTTTTCCTCTTCTTCTAAATCTTCTTCGAAATTATCCAATTCTTCATTTAATTCATCTTCATTAATATCTTCACCTTCTTCTTCTTCTTCTTCTACTTCTTCTTCTTCCTCACCCTCCTCTTCTTCACCTTCAAGTTCTTCTCCATCTTGTTGAGGTTGTTCAATATGATGTTCTTCAATATTATTATTAACCGATGGTAGTAAAGTCGGATTTTTCTTTAACATAAATCTTAAATTTCTTTCTTGTGATTTTAATGCAGAATTATCATCTTTATTTAAAACTATTGCTGGAACTATATAATTATTATTATTATTATTATTATTATTATTATTATTATTATTATTATTATTATTATTAGGATAATTATTATTATTATTATTTAAAAACCCTTTGTGTGGTTTGATTAATAAAAATGAATTATGATATTTTTTCCCTTTTTTTAAAGCCTCTGATGCTTCTTCCTGTTTAAAAAAAAAATTTAATAAAATATTTCAAAAAAAAAAATATTTAAAAAAAAGGTATAAATAAAAAATATTTACATTTGTTGTATAAGTTAATGTCAATGAATAAAAATTTAATTTTTTTTTAATATTTGATATTGATACAATATTTCCAAAAGATTTAAAATGGTTTGTCATTTCTTTAATTAAATTATTTTCATTATTATTAAATTGGTTTGCTGGTATATTACCAACAAATAAAACATTGGTTTTATTATTATGAATTTGATTTGGTTTTAGATTCTTTGGTTCAAAAGGTGATGCATTTGGATTTAATGTTTTTGATGGTGGAATTACTGTCGGTATATATGATGTATTTTGAGATATATTATTATTTCCAAAAACTGATACATTATTATTTGATACAGTATTACCAAAAATACTATTATTATTATTTATACTATTCAAACTATTATTATTATTATTATTATTATCGTTATTATTACTATTATTATTATTTATAAATTTTGACCAATCCATTATAAAGAATTAATGAATTAATTTCTCTTTTTAAAAAAATGAAATAAAAAAGTGAAATTTTAAAAAAAAAAAAAAAAAAAATTTTTATTAATTTTTTATTTTTTTTTATTTTTTTTTTTTTTTTTTTTAATTTTTTTAAACAATTTTTTTAAATAAATACAACAAATATCCATACACTACTTTTTTTTTTAAACTCTTTTTTTTTCTTTTTAATTTAAATAATAGATATTAAATAAAAAAGCCAACTTAAGAAAAAAACTTTTGTAGTAGAAAAAGATTTAAAAAAAAACAAATATAATAAGAAAAAAAAAAAACAATAATCGTCAAAAATAACACAAAATCATTATGATATATAATAAAAGAAAAGAAACTATAAACAATAAAATAAATTTAAATAATAATTCAATTTTTAAAATAAATTATATACCGATTTTTAGGAATAGTTTTTAATAATTATAATAAAAATGTCACTTTTTAAAAAATTAAGTAATTTTAGTAGTAATAACAATAGTAAAGATAGTAGTAAAAAAGAGAAAGAAAAAGAAAAAGAGAAAGAAAAAGAGAAAGAAAAAGATAAGGATAAAGATAAAGATAAAGATAAAGATAGTACTATCAATATTATTAATCAAAATCAAAATAATATTGATAAAAAAAACAATTTAGTAACTGATATAAATAATTCGAATAATAGTATTAATAATAATAATAACAACAATAATAATAGCAATAGTAATAACAATAGCATTAGTAATAATATAAATAATAATAATAATAATAATAATAATAATAACTCGACAACCAATAATATCAATAGTAATTTGAATAATATGAATAATGTTAATAAAAATATTTATAATATTAATCCAAAAATTAAAACAAATTGTCAATCATGGATATTTAATTTAAAGCTTGATTTATATCAATCAATTGATGCAAAATATGGATCAAGGATATCCTTAAATATAAAGAAGAGAAAAGGCATTCAATTAAAAAAAGGTGATAGATTTTTCTTTTCAGCTATTCATAAAAATAAAACCGATACAATAATGTCCCAATCTTCAGTTATCCAAGACCCAAAAGATATATCCGAACAAACATTTGATGTAATTGTTCAATTCGAAAAGATATTTCCTGATCCAATACCTAGAAATATATTCGAAAATCAACCAATTTTATCTGATCTTGTCCAATCAAAAGGCTCTTTTACCAAAATATCAGAAACTCAATTACCATTATTTTTAGATATGATTTCAGACTATACAAAAAGAAATGCAAGGTAAGAAAATTATTATCAAAAAAAAAAAATATTTATATATACTTACTTATTTAATTTTTATTTCTCTAGCAAAAAAGAGGCAATGAATTTTTTAACAGGTATTAGTCTTGGTGAAAAGAAAGAAGTTATTTCTCAACCATCTTCAGCCCAGCAAATTGAAAATGAAATTAGTAGTGATAATAGTGACGATAATGAGCCAAAACATTTTTTAATTAAAAATAATCAAAAAGAAAATCTCGAAAGACTTTTTTTATCAAATCCAAAACCAGATGCTTTGGATGTTGATATCATCGCTTTAAAACTAAATTTACCAAACAAAACAATTCATCAATGGTTTCAAAATAAAAGAAAAAGATCTATTCGTAATGTAAACAGCCAACATAACAATGAAGATTCATATCGTTTTCGGAAATCTGACATGGAGACTCTAAATCAAAACTTTGCAGAAAACCCATCAAAAATTAAACATTTAGAAAAAGATAGTAATTCAATTGAAAGAATTAATAATTGGCTCAAACTTAAAGGATCAATTGAATCTCCAATCATAATAAATAGTGTCCTTAGTATTTCCGATGAAAACCCAACTACACCAATTAAAGAACCATTAAATTTAGATTCAAAAGATCCAACTTTATTACCATTTAAATTAGAACAAATAGATAATAATATAAATAATAATAATAATATTCCAAAAGAATTTTTAGAAATTAATGAAAAAAAAGATTATGAAATTGAAGATAAACAACTACAAAAACTACCCCAAAATTTAATTAATCAAATTCAACAAAGATCAAGCACAAATAATATTTTTATAAGAGATGATAGATCAGATATTTCAGAATTAAATATTACAGGTGATATTACAACTAAACAACAAACCATATCAAAAATCAAAAAGAAAAATACAATTGAAGAATATATTTTAAATTATTATAAAACCCCAACACCTCAAAAGATATATTTTGTTTCAGGAAATGGTTTTCCTATTTCGGTATTTTCATTAATTAAAAATGAAAAGAAAACTTCAAAAACAACTGATGAACATATAACCAATCAAAGTCAATCCCAACAATCAACAAATCAATCACAAATAAACCAACAATCTCAAATAAACTATCAACAAACCCAAACTCAAATCCAATCACAACCAACATCCTCTTCCTTAGCTCAACAACAAAATATATCATCACAACTACAACAACAACAATCATTATCACAACTTCAATCACAACTAGATAATAATTCCAAAGAAAATGATGATAATAATGAAAACAATAATATTACTAATAATAATATTATTACAAATAACAATAATAATATAACAAATAATGTTAAAGATTCACTTGTAAATTTATTAAATAATGTTTCAGGTAAAAAAGAAATTTCATATGCACATTTATTAAATTGTGATAATATTGATAATGATTTTGTTGGTGATGAAGTTGATGGAAATGGTATACCAATCAAATATGATCCTACATTTTTAGATAATTCAGAATTAAAAACTGGTAAACATAGAACTGTAATGAATTTACAATCATACAAAGTTTCTATTTTTCCATTTATTCGTAAAGGTGCAATCAAAGAAGAATTAAATGAACAATTTAGACAAAAACATCAATGGATTAATCAGCCTGGTATCACTTTATACAAAATTAGAAAGATCAAAAGGAAACTAAAGAAAATTGCAATTAAATCAGATTTAGAAATTAGTAGTTTAGGTTTATCATATGTATTATTAGAAAAACTCCTTTTAAAAAATTTAATAGAGCATTCAAATTTCGAATTAATGGCATCTGTTTGTTTATTATTGGCTGTAAAGTTTAACGATCCAAAAGCTTTAGAAGCAAATTTATCTCAATTTTTCATTCAAGTCGAAAACAGATTTAATATAACTAAAAAAGAACTTTTACAACATGAATTTCAAGTATTTTCTCAATTATCCTTTGGTTTATTTATTTCTCACCATGATGTACTTCCTCATTTAAATAGACTTAAATCAGAATCCATAGATGATGAATTATTAAATAAATATTAAACTATTTTATTATATTTTTTATTAAAAAAAAAAAAAAAAAAAAAAAATATTATTTTTACATTATTATTTTTTTTATTTTTTAATATTTATTTTTATTTTTTAATATTTATTTTTATTTTATATTTTAATCACCACGAATTTGTGAATTATTAAATAATTGTAATCTTTCAGCATATCCTGAACCAGTAAGTTTTAAGAAAACTTGTTCCAATGAAGTTTGAGAAACTGAATAATCATCCAACATGGATGAAAGATCTTGTTGAAGAGTACCAAATATTTCTGATATTTTTACTGGATTGTTTGGATCGTTAGGTAATTCGAATGAAGCAATTAAATCGTGTTCATCCAATAATGAGGCTGTTGAAAAACATTTTAATACTTGTTGAACACCTCCATCTAAATATTCTTTTTTGAATTTAACATCAATTGAATAACCTGTACCAAATTTATTTTTAACATGTTGAATTGAACCTAAACAAGTGAATTTACCATCTTTCATGATTGTAACTCTTCCACAAAGTGCTATAATATTGAAATAAATTTTTTATTATTAATAACTTTTATAAAATATAATATATATAAAGGGGAAATAACTTACCTTGACATTCTTCCATTGAATGAGTTGTGATGATAATTGAACGATCTTTACCCAATTCACTAACAACATTCCAAAGATAACGACGTACTACAGCATCACAACCAGTACTTGGTTCATCTAAAAATACAACACTTGGATTACCCAACATAGCAATAGATAATGATAACTTTCTCTTATTACCACCTGAATAACCACCACAATTACTATTTGCAATTCTCTTCATATCCATCATTTGAACAAAAGACTCGACGACAAGTGAAATTTTATCCTCTGGAATACCTTTAATACGACAATACAAAGTAATTTGTTCACGAGCTGATAATAAACTGATGAGTGCATCAAATTGTGGAACCATTGAAATTGATTTAAGAGCTTGTGAACGGTTTGTTATTAAATCAAAACCATTAATTGTAATTTCACCAGAAGTTGGGACAACATCACCACAAAGCATTGAAAGGGTAGTGGTTTTACCAGCACCATTCATTCCCAATAAACCAAAGGTTTGACCACGTGGAATACCAAGAGTACTATTATAAACTGCATTTTTATCGGGATTCTTTCCTTTACCAGGGAAAAGTTTATGAAGATTTCTAAGTTGAATGACCTCGTTTCTTGAAGCTGGTTGGAGTAATCTTTCACGTTCTAATGATACATCGGAATCTTCATCTGAAGGTGGTGGGGGTGCTGCAACATTCTTTGGATTTCTAAAGTAACCTTTAAATTCTGGTGTATAATCTAATAAAAGGATCCATGGTATCCAAACTATACAGTGAATTGCCAAAATAATAATATGAATACCACCATATTTTAATGACCAATAATTATCAATTTCATAATAACCTAATCTAATTGAACCTGGGAAACCAGAGATGATAAGGAGAACTCTACTAAAAGCATAAAGAGGTGAAAAGATATCAAAAACGATATCGACAATATCGGATGCATCTTGAAGACCTTGAGATTTTTCAATAATAACTTGAATACGAAGATTTAATGAAACAATTGTAAAGACGATACCAATAGCAAAGTGAATAGCTGCAACAGCACCAACAGTTGAACCATATGATTTGAAACGATATGATAAAAGATAAGATAATGGAATAACTGATAATACAAAGAAAATTAATGATAAAATAAAAAGACCAAATTGATCTTTATATTCATCTTTAACTACTGCTAAAATAATACATGTTATTATAAGTAAAATAAAACCAAATAAATAATCCCAAATTAAATTTGATAACCAATAAATATATTTTTTACAACCTAATTTAAAAAAAAAAATATTAATATTTTTTAAAAAAAAAAAAAACTTTAAATTTTATAAAAAAAAAAAATTCACATACCTGAAATATAGAGTAATCTTTTAATACGATTTGCACGTTCTTGTGCAATACTACCAGCAAATGAACCTGCCATTAATGAAAAACCACCCATAATAATAATTACAAAATAAACTATAGATTGAATATTCATATTTTGAGAAGCCAATTCAAAGTTTGATAAAACATGTTTAAATGGCATACTTGTAACTTGAATACCAAAATCATTATGTTTTCTTAATAAAGCATCATTTGCCAAATTGATTTGTACTGGTAATGAATGAATATAATTAAAATTATATAATGCTATATATGATACTTTGTTACCATTATTAAGTGCTGAAATTGAATTTGTGAAATTTAATGAACCTGCAGCTTCTAAATAATTTTCAACCAAATAATCTTCTAAACTTTCACTTTCTTGAATATATGTCATATTACTAAAGTATGGACTTTTATCTAATAAATTGAAATTATCCAAAGTAAATGTTTGAACAGGTACCCTATAAGATTTATAAAGATCATATGATAATTCTAATGGAGTTGTAACGTTATTATAAAATAGAGTGGCAGTGTTAACTTCTTTATAAACAACAATTGAACCAATAATAACAATAAGTGGAATAAGTAAAGATAAAAAGAATGCTTTCATATCTTTTTTAGAAGTTCTAATACGTTTAATTAAAAGACCTTTGAGTTGTTGTCTTGCTGTAATACCTTGACTTGGAATTGCAATATTTGCTTTGAGTGTATCTTCGTCAGTAACTTGGTTTTTATTCAATTCGAAACCATCTGATACCTCTGTTCCGATCTTTAAAAATACCTCTTCTAATGTTGTAACTGAAATACCATAGGTTGTAATTTGGAATGACTCTAATTGTTGATCAAAGTTTTGGAAGAAATTTGAAAACTGTGGAACACTTGAAGTTGGGAAACGATAACTTAATTCAGTACCTGCATCTGATAAAACATTGGCCTCTGGTATATAACGATGAATAAATTCTGTAACATTATCTGTATTAAAGTTTTCAACTGATTCTAATTTTTTGCTACATGTTAAAAGATAACCACAACCAAATTTATTTTTTAAATATAAACTTGAACCATCACATCTAAGTTTACCATGAGTAATAATTGCAATTCTATCACCTAAGAAATCAGCTTCATCCATGAAATGAGTTGTCAAAATAATAGTTTTACTTTTTTTATATTTAAGTAAAAAGTCCCAAACACCACGACGACTTAATGGATCCATACCTAATAATAATAATAATAATAATATTTAATAATAATAATTTTAAATTTATTAGTATAAATTTATATATATATAATTTTAATAATAATCATTACCTGAAGTAGGTTCATCTAAAAAGATAACAGAACTACGACCAATAAAAGCAATACCTAAACATAACTTTCTTTTTTGACCACCAGATAATGAACCAGCTGGAGAGTTAATTTTTTCACCCAAACCAACTTCATTAGCCATTTTAACTGCTTCACTTTTAATTTCTTTTTTAGCAACACCTTTAAGAGATGCATAAATTTTAAGATGTTCCAATACAGTTAATTGAGCCCAAATAATATCTTGTTGTGGACAACAACCTAATGATCTTCTAACTCTACCCATATTAGTTGTAATATCATTACCAAGAATTGAAGCAGTACCACGTGTTGGTTCGATTAAACCAGTTAACATACCGATTGTAGTTGATTTACCACTACCATTTGGACCTAAAAAAGCATGAATTTGGCCTTCAAACATATCCAAATATAAGTCATTCACTGCAACACGTAAACCATCACCAGTTTGAAATTCTTTTCTTAAATTTCTAATTGATACTGTAACTTTATTTTTATTTCTAACTTCTGCTGGTATCATTTCAACATCGTCATTCTGATAAGTGGATTCAATATCGAAAATATCTCTACCGCTATTAGAGCTATTCTTCCAGTATGATTTTGTAAAAAGGAAATACCACTTTTCTTTTGTGCCATATTCAGTTGGTATAACTTTATCTAAATACCAAACCAAAAACAAATAAACAAAAATATCTAAAACCAACATACCAATAACTTGTCTATAAATGAAAATTAATTAGTAAATAATAAAAAATTTTCGATTTTATATTTATTTTTTTTACTTACTTTTCTGTTATAATATAATCCCAATCGACAGTTAAAACATCAGTTAAATCTCTAACACTCATTGCATAAAATGAACATGCAATCGCAACTGGTGATAATAAACATAAAAACAATTTTACCCCAGTATTAAACTCTGTATTACCTACAAAGATACCGCAAATATTTACAACCAATATTATTACAAAAGTTAAAAGACCTGAAAATTTTGATTTATCGAAAAAGTTACTGAAAATAAAGGCCAATAACAGTAATGAAATTAAATAAAGAACTAACAATACAATTACTATGCCCCATGAAGTTGTGTGAATTACTTGTGAACCCTTCAAAATAATAATAATTACAAAATCTACTGGTAAAGCTGTAAAAAGTTGCATTACAAACCAACTTAAAAAGTATGCAAAATCATTTAACCCCATCATCTTCATACCTTCTCGAATTTTTGTTTCTTTTTCAACCAAAAGATCTGTTGTCTATAATTAATTAATTTAAAAAATTAATAATTTATTGTTGTAAAAAAAAAATAAACAATACTTACTAAACGAAAAACAAATATTAAAAGAGCAGCTGTAACAAAAGTACTACCAGCATTTTTAAATAAACCATCTCTACCATTGATCCATTTCATCCATAGTTCGGTCCATGGATCTGGGAAACGTTGTCCTGTAACATCCAAAGTGATATTAAGACCAAAATAATCGAAAATAGCTTGATCCATGGCGACTTGAATATTTGAAAAACTCTTTTTTGCATAAATTTCACTATCTAAATTTTTATCGATGATTAATGAATTATCCATAACATAGTCACTATCTAATCTTATATTATATTTGAATGGTGAGGCTACGCTTGCAACTTGACTATCGTTGAACCAAACTGCACCAAATGTATGTTTTGAATTATTTGCAAAATAAGTTTCCATTTCTTCTTTATTATTAAGCTCTAAAAAGAAATAATTTACCTCGTTCATTGTTATTTTTTTAACAATTGAAACTCTTGTTTTCATTGCAGTAATGACACCTTGTTGTTCTGCACTTAATTGACCCTCTTGATTACCATAAATAAATTTACTATTGTTATTTACACTATATGAAAAAGCATTTGCATTATATGGGTCGTAATTTGGTTTAAATGCTTGAATTAAAACTATAAAAAAAAATTCTATTAGTATTGAAAATTTTAATATTTTATTTTATTTAACAACCTACCTAAAATTGCAAATATTATCAAGACAATGATAATTGGAAATATAATTTCACATACCATAGCACAACAACTTTTCCCTCTTATCAAACGATTCTTTTTTAAGAGGGTTTTAAATTGATTATTAAATTCCCCCATTTTTTTTTTTCTTTTAAAATTAATTAAAAAAAATAAAAAAAAAGGTAAAAAATAAAAAAAATAAAAAAATAAAAAAATAAATTTATATGTTTATATATATTTATTATTATATTATTAATAAAACAAAAATAAAAATACAAAATTCTAAAAATAATTTATTATTTTTAAAAAAACTATTGATCATAATAAAAAAAAAAAATAAAAAAAAAACAGCTATTTTTAATTATAAAAATAAATTAAAAGAAATAAAAAAAAAAAATTATTAGGTTATAACGAAAAATAAAAAATAAAAAATTAAAATAAAATGATGATGACATTTTTTGGGGTAAAAGTGCTCTATAACGCAAAAAATTTTACATAAAAAAAAATAAATAAAAAAATAAAAAAAAGATTTAAGGTTTATTATTTACTTTTTTATATTAAATTATAATTCTATAAAAAAATTTAAAAAAAAAAAAAAAAAAAACATTTATTCTAATTTTATTTATAGTTTTTTATTTATTTACTTTTTTTACAATTAATTAATTTTAAAATAATTATTGCATTTTTATTTTTTTTTTTTTTTTTTTTTTAATTTTTTTTTAAATTATTTTATTTTTTTTTTTTATTATTTTTAAATTTTGTTTAAATATGTCATCTTTTAAAAATTTAAAAGAACAATTAGAAAAAAAAAGAAAAGAAGCTCAATTAAATAGCAATAGTAATACAGAAAATAATGATCAACCAAATAAAAAATATAAAACTAGAGGCGAAATTGAAAAAGAATTAAAACAAAAAAAAGAAAATGAAAAGGTAAATGCAATAATAATAATAATAAAAAAAATCTAAAAAATTACTTTAATTACTTATATTATTTATATTATTTTAGATTTTAAAAGAAAAAGAAAAAAACAAAAATAATATTGATACAGCAACAGTAACAAATAACAATGAAATAAATAATGAAAATGATATTGATACAGAAACATTTTTACCAGAAAAAGTTGTAATACAAAGATTAAGAGAAAGAGGTCAACCTATAACTTATTTCGGTGAAACACCAAAAGATAGAGCATCAAGATTAAAGAAACTAGAGGAGAATGATCCAATTGAATATACTCAAGGTGATAACGAGTTTGCTAATATTTTAAAACAAATTGAACAACAAAAGTTTAAAAAATACTCAAAGAATAATGAAAACGATAATTTAATCAATAATAGTGAAAGTGATCAAGCGACAATATATGATAAACTAAATAACAATAACAAAAAAGATAAAGAAGATGAAAATGAAGAAACCGAAGAGCAGTTGTTGGAAGAATCAAAAAAATCTAAAGAAGGTAGCATTTTATACTTTTTAAAGAAACTTTTAAATGAATGGGATAGTTTACTCGAAAATAGATCCGATGAAGAAAAGAAATCAAGACAAGGTAAAATTGCCGAGGCAACATACATTCAATGTAAAGGTCATATTCAACCATTATTCACCCATTTAAGAAATAAAACTCTACCTGATGACATATTGGAATATCTTCATCAAATTACTGAATACTGCAAAAAAAGAGAATATGTAAAAGCAAATGATGAATATTTACAAATGGCTATCGGAAATGCCCCTTGGCCCATGGGTGTAACTATGGTTGGTATTCACGAACGTTCAAGTAGAGAAAAAATTTTTTCAAATCAAGTTGCCCGTATGTTTTTAATTATATTTTATTATTAAAATTTTATATCAATTATATAAATATTAATTTTTTTTTTTTTTTTTTTTTTTTCATTTAGATGTACTTAATGATGAAGGTCAAAGAAAATATATTCAAGGTGTTAAAAGATTAATGACTTTTTGTCAACAACAATATCCAACTGATCCTTCAAAATGTGTTGGTTAACATGAATAATAAATTCTATATATAATCAAATTTTTTTTATTTTTTTATTTTTTTTTTAAAAGTGAAAAATTTATAACAAATAAATAAAATAATTATTATTTAAAATTTAAATTCAAACCAAAAAATAATCAAGAAAAAGAAAATTTTTTTTTTTTTTTTTTTTTTACCAATCCCTATAAATAATAGATAATCCTAAAAATAATTTTTATATATATTTATTTTAATAAATTTTATTTTTATAAAGACGAATAAGAAAATGTAATGTAAATTTAATAATAACCAGGGTTACCGGCTCTGGGTGCACAAATTTTTAATTTTTTTTTGTGAGTGCAGAAAAAAAATTTTGATTTTTTTTTTTTTTTTTTTTTTAAAATTTTTTTTTTTTTTGTTTTTTTTATTTTTTTTTATTTTTTTTTTATATTTTATTTTTATAATATATTATTTTTATTTTTTTTTTAATATAATATTATATTTTTTAAAAAAGATAAATTAATAAATAGATATTGGAAAATGAATTTTAAGGATATGGATTGTTCAAACGGTGTCAAAGCTGCTGAAAGCACTTTTAGACAAAAAGTAGTTTTAGCCAGAGAAATTCCATGGAATGGTTTTGCATCATCAAATTCAATCACAGCAAGCGAATACGATTTAATTTCAAAATATGACAAACACAGCGATAACGAAAAGAAAGAAAAATTCATTGGTGTATGTTTCATCATTCAATAAAATAAAATATATGGTTTATTATAGATATATCGAATTTTGGATCAATTATTTTTAATCAGTTTTTTTTTTAAAAAAAATCAATATGGAATCGTTGATACAGAATTAAAATTTTTAAAATATAATACTTATATTAAATTTTTTTTTTTTTTTAAATTTTTAGAATAGCCAAAAATATGTTAGTTTCTTTGTTAACTTTATTCATTCAACCAGTAATTCAGAAATTATTCAATATTTATTAACCCTCATTAATGAAATTATTGAAAGTAAGAAATTTATATTTTAGGTTATTGGATATACAGCAAATAAATTATTAATTTATAATAATCATAAAATTTAAAAAATTACTAACAAAAATTATTATTTATTATCTTAGTTGATCCAAGAGCTGCATCAGCTTTTTCAAGAGGTAGTACCGATCCAACTTACCCATACTCTGTCTTCTTTAGATTATTATCTCGTGATGATGCTTATATTAACCTCCACGCCAGTATTGCTCTTGCTCAAATCATGTGGTAGGTTTTTTTTTTAAAAAATAATTAATAGTAGGGGTAAACCAGAAAAAAAAACTTTTTATTAATCAATGAATTTTTTTTTTTTTTTTTTTTTTTTTTTTTTAATTAGTGCTGGTAAACCACAACAAGAAGATGTCGAAAAATTCTTTAATTGGATTCTTCAATTATTAAGAAAGAGTAACTCATCAGAAGTTGAAGTTGGTCTTATTGCTTTACAAAATCTCTTGTTAAAAGACGAATTTAGAGCTACTTTTGATAGATTAGGAGGTTCAGCTTTGTAAGTTTAAATTAATATATAAACAATGATATAATGAATATACATATTAATATTAATACATTTAAAATTTTCAATTAAAGATTATTAAATATTCTTCAAGCTCAATCATCAAATACTGCCAATATTCAATTATTATATGAAACTATTTATTCAATTTGGTTACTTACCTATAACAACGAAATTGCTGCTAAATACTCTGGTACTGGTTTAGTTTCAAAATTAGTTAATCTTATTAAAACTGTTGTCAAAGAAAAAATTGTTAGATTATCTATTTCAGTTTTAAGAAACTTATTAAACCAAGGTAACAATAACGAAGAAATGATCGACAATGGTTTTGTTCGTATGTTAAATATTTTAAATATTAAAAAATGGGGTGATGAAGATATTCCAGCCGATATTGAAGTTTTAGTTAATGGTCTCGCTAAAGATATTGATAATATGAGGTAATTATATTAATAATCATACAATAATAATTAAAATAATATTAATTTTTTTTTTTACTTTTAGTTCATTTAATAAATATAAAGCTGAAATTGTTTCAGGTGAATTAGAATGGACACCAGTTCATAAATCTGAAAGATTTTGGAAAGAAAATATTACAAAGTTCGAAGAACAAAATTATTATGTCATTAAAAGTTTACATCAAATTTTATCAAATGGTCAATCAACTCCAATCCAATTATCAATTGCTTGTCACGATCTTGGTGAATTTGTTAGACATCATCCACGTGGTAAAGCCATTATCGATTTCTTACAAATTAAACCAGCTATCATGGCTTTAATGGCCAATCCAAATGAGGAAGTTAAAAAACAAGCCTTATTCGCTTTACAAAAAATGATGTTAAATAATTGGGAATACTTAAGTCAAAATAAAAATTAATAGTATTTTTTTTTTTTAGAAAAGAAATATAATAATATAAAAAAAAACAAATAAAAAAAATAAAAATAAAATTTAAAAAATAATAATTATACTGTATCTCTATTTTATTTTTTTTTTTTTTTTTTTTTTTTTTTTTTTTTTTTTTTTAAAGAATTAAAATAAATAATAATAATAATAAAAATGAAGAGTATTTTAATTTGTTTGAATTATTACAAATTGAACCTTGACCACAAGAGAAATCACCATTGATACATGTTGATTCATAGGCACATTTTAATTGACCACATTTGGATTGTGCACATGAAAGACTACTATAAATATTTGTAACAGAAACGGTTGGACATTTAGAATTGGATAAACAATTGAAATACTTTAATTTAGCATCTTTACAACTTGGACCAATATTACTAGATTCTGTACATGAACCACTACCATTTGGTTTATTTATTGAATTACATAAACAAGTTTCACTACTAAGACAATTGCTATCTTTAGAGCAAGTGGTATTACTTCTTTTAATGGTTTCAAATTTTGTGCAGTATCCATTTGAACACTATCATAAGATAAAGAAAATTATTAATATATTTTATATATTTAATTAAAATATTATTTAAATACTTACAACTAAATTTAAACCAATATCGCAAGAATCCACAGAGTTACATGGCTTACCTTCGCCAATCGAATTTAAAAGTGTACATTTTGAAACTGATGGGCTTGAGGTTATTAAACATCTACTATTAATCTTACATTGTACATCTGAGGTACATTCAGTACCATCAGAATATTTGGTTTGACATTGTTTTTCATCATTACAAAATTGGTTAGCACCACATGTTGTTGGTGTACATTGTAACCCTGGGTACACACAAGTTGTATTTAAACATTTTAAATTTTCTGAACATTCAATATCTTTTTTACAAGTTTCTCCAGGTCTAATGTTTATGAAAAAATTATTATTGGAAAAAAAAAAAAAAAAAAAAAAAAAAGTTAATATTTTATTAAAATTTTATTTATATGTTTAATATTATTTATATATTTACCCTTTATATCTAACATTAGCACAATATTGATCATCACCAGTGTTATAACAATATAAACCATATTGACATTGACTTTGATATTTACATGTATCGTATTGTTTCAACATTGGTTCGCAAATTGGCTCTTCATATGCTATATTACAATATAAATTACCTCCACAATATCTACCTGGTTTATTACAATATTCCCCTTGATCTAAACATTGATATTGGGTACATGCATTTATTATTCCAATTGAAATTACAATTAAAAATATAATTTTCATTGTAGTAGTAGAAATATTTGATTATTATTAAAATATATTTTATTATTTATAATATAAATTTTATTGATTATATAATTTTTTTTATTTTTTTCTTAAATATTAAATGATAGAAAAATTATAATATTAATTTGTTTTTTTTTTTTTAATCAATGATGTATATTTAAATATAAAAAAAAAAAATAAAAAAAAAATAAAAAAAAAATATTATTTTTTAAATGAATATATATATTAATTTTTAATATGTATATTAAATAGTTTATATATATAATAATACCACCAAATTAAATCCGTTTTTTATATAAAAATTTATTTTGGGGGGTTTTTTTTTTATGTGTTGTATTTGTGGGTGATTGTGTGTTTGTGTGTTTGTGTAAGTGAATGGGGTGTGGTTTTGAAAAAAAATTTTGTTAAAAATTTTTTAATTTAAAATTTAAAAAAGGGTTAGTTTTTAAAATCATTAATGATTCACCATTTTATCAAGAAATTCAGATTTTAGTTTTCGGATGGTTAAATCATAAGTATTTATATAGAATTTTATTATAAAGTCATAATGAATTTTTAAATTTTCACAATTTTTTTTTTTTTTTTTATTTTTTTTCATAAAATTTTTTTTTTTTCGTTTTTTTTATTTTTTATTTTTTTATTTTTTATTTTTATTATATTTTTATAACAATAATAGCTATTAAAAAATGAGAAGAAATACTAATCAAAATAAGAAAAACGCCCCAGTTGTTCAAAAAAGTGTTTTCAATAACCTTGATTTAGATAGCAGCAGTGAAGATGAAAAACAAATTGAAGAAGTTACTGCATCAACTAAAAATTTAAATGTTCAACAACCACAAGTTCAACAACCAGAAGTTGACTCAACTCCACGTCCATACAGTGGTGGTTTTATTAGTACTATGGAAATTCCAGAATATTACCCAATTGGTAAATTAATTAAAGATAATGGTAAAAATCAAATTAAAAAAAAAAAAAAAATCAAATATAAAAACTAAAAAATAAAAAATTTGATTATAAAATATTAATATTTTTTCTTATAGATTTTTCAGATAGAGCTCAAGTTACTTTTAACACCACATGTTTTGTTAAACAATCAGAATATGATATTATCAAAGAAGTTTTAGATAAATTTAAACCATTTGTTAAATTAAATAATAATGTTTATGAAATTTCAAAATCATCAAAAATTACTGGTAAAGCTTTTCAAGGTATGTTTGAAATTTATTAATATATTTAATAATATATATTAAATATATTAATAAAAAAAAAAATAATAAATTTTATTTATTTTACTAATTTTTTTTTTAAATAGATTTCCAAGATGAATTAAAAAAAACCAAAGTTAAATCATTAAATATTAGAACTATTTTAACAATTAAATCAAAGAATCCAGAAGATTGTGAAGATATTTCTAAATGGATCGAAAAACAAGTTGCAAACTTTGTACCATCAAACTATCCAACTAAAGTTTCAACCTTTGTTGTTTCACAAAGTGCAAATTTCACATTTAAATCAATGATTCCAAACTTTGATTCAATTAATGTCCCATATCAATTATACGAAAGAGCTAATGCTTCAAATGCTACTGTTACTCCATCAACTAGTGAAGAAAAAGTCATCAACAACAATAAAATTATTGTTTGTGACGATGAATCATCATCAAAAGAAAATATTGTCGCTGCTTTAACTGCTCCACTTTTAGAGGCCAATCAATCATTAGTTGGTGCTGCTAATTCTGATAAGAAAATTAAATGCTCACTTAAATTTGGTAACTCTATTTTCTACCAACTTAGTGCTACTGCTTTCTTACCAGGTTTTTCAAAAGAACAATTATCTCAAATGGAAACTTATAAGGATTTCCGTTCAAAACAAGATAGTATCATCAAAGAATCAGATTTCAATACTATTGCCAAACACATTAAAGATAGTTCATCAATTTATCAAGCCAAGGAAACTGACGCCACCATCTATCGTGTATTCATTGGTAATTACAAAGTTAGATTAGTCAATGAAACTGAAGAAAAACTTAAAATTAAAGCTATCTCGCAATTAGACGAAAGAGTTGTTACTCTCGATACTGTTTATCCATCAAATCTTTCCAATAAAGTTGGTTGCAGAGTCGCTATTTCAAAAAGTAAAAATATCGAAAAAGAAACTCTTCCAAAGAATATTTTAACTTTCTTAGAATCAACCACTAAAGATAAATCTGGTAATTATCTTTCATTCCCATCAGATTTCTACAAGACTAGAAGCTTCAGCAAATCACAAACTACCTTTGTTAACAATGAAACCAAAAATGTTATCCATTTGGTCAAAATTACCGAAGAAAAAAGAGATGAAGTTTACTATTCAATTAGAATTTCAAATCCATTAATTAAATTTACAAACAAATCATCAGAAGAACAATTCAAACAAACTTTAGATTCAATTTATTCTGAATATCAATCATTAGTTAATAAATTATAAAAAAAAAAAAAAATTAAAAAGCTATTAATAAAAATATAAATAAAAATATAAATAAAATATTTTTTTATTTAGAATAAATGTAATAATCAAAATAATTTTTTATGTATATTATTTTTTTATACATTAATTTTTATTTTATTATTAAAAATATTGTAAGAGCGAACCAAGTTTGCGCAAATTTGAAATAATAAAAAAAAACCCACCAAATTTTTAATTGTATAATTTTTATACTTAAAAGGATATATGTTTAATTTATTATAAAAATTTTTTTTTAAAATTAATTTTTTTTTTTCATTTTTTAAATTTTTTTTATTGGAAATAATTATATATTTAATTTCAATTATAATTTTTTTTTTTTTTTTTTTTTTTTCTGAAGGTATAAATAATTAAACGCTTGGCTCTAATATAAATAAAAATAAAAAATATCAATTATTATGTTTCATTAAAAATAGAAAATATTATATAATATTCAATCAAGTTTTCAATCAACTATCTTTTATTTTTTTATTGAATGTAATGATTATAAGGTAAGTATTATGGATAATTAAAAAATATCAAGTAATATTAATATGGATCAAAAAAATATCTAGTATTATGGATCATATAAAAATATCAAGTATTATTTAGCATTTAAAAAATAATATGGATCACACAAAAATATTAAGTATTATTTATAATTAAAAAAGATCAAATATTATGTAAAAATATCAAAAAATATGGATTATACAATCAACTCTCATTAGGTATTTTGATTACATAGATACTGAGTTGGGCCCACTTGATATCTATGTTTTCGAAATCTACCAAATTTTCAATGTGGTGGTAAATTATTTATACTGCGTGGTAGTACTAATAATTAACCACAAATTTTCAATATGGCGTTTAATTATTTATACTGTCTGAAGGTATAAATAATTAAACGCTTGGCTCTAATATACTAACCTCCCCGTGGTAGAGCTGGAAACACTCTTTACAAAGAGTGGCTAATAGTATAAAAATTAATACTAAAAAAATAAATAAAATATATAAAATAAATAAAATAATGGTATTAATAACATTTTATTATCTTTAAAAATTTATTACAAAGTCTTTAAAATTTTTTTTCTTTAATTTTTTTTTGGGGATTTAGTTAAAAAATATTTTTTTTAGGGATTTAAATTAAAAAAAAATTAATTTTGAATTTTTTTTTATTAAAATTCCCAAATATTACCAAAGAAACACCATCAAACCGATTTATTTATCAAAAATCTTCTAGAAAGAATAAAGATTGTTATGAAGATTTTAAAACTCGATAAAAGAATGTTTAGACAATTAAAAACACTTTCATTAAATTTAAAGATCAACAAATTCTAAAAGTTTAAATTTTTAGAATCCTTTGGTGTCAAATTAAAATAATATATTATTTAAAACTTTGTTTTTATTTCTGTTTTATTTGTTGAATTATTTCCTTTTTTTATATATAATATCTTCAATAAATAATTTAAACAAAAATTAAAAAAAAATTAAAAATAATTTTATTTTTTTATTTTTTTATTTTTTTTTAAAATATATTTTTTAAAATTTCAAACACCACATGAATATTAAGTAAATAATGGACGATAATAATAAGAATAATATAAATAATAGTAATAATGATTTATCGGATAGTCAGAATAATGTTCAAATAAAAGAATGTAGTAATGAATGTAAAAAAAGTAGTCAATGCGAAAAATGTGGTCTATGTAAACTAGTACCAGAAAAAATACCACTATATGGACCATATACAGTTAGAGGTTTGGAGCCAAATACACAGTATTATTATTGCACTTGTGGTAAAACAACAATCCAACAACCGTTATGTGATCAAAAAACTTGTATTGGAACCGATTTTACTCCAAAGCCATTCACCTTAACAAAAAAACAAACTCTATATCTTTTATGTGGTTGTAGATACACAGGAAATCCTCCACACTGCGATGCGATTCATACAAGAGTACCATTTAACCCTCAAGATCCACCATGCAAATGTGATAAAAATGATAGTGGCAAAACCGAAAGTATTTGTAAAAAAGCGACTGATTGGTAATAAAACAAATAAATAAATAAATATATAAATACTAAAGAAATTTTTTTATTTTTTAAAAATAAAAATTAATATATCTTAAAATATCTTTTTTTTTATTGTGTTATACTATAAAACTATAAAACCTTTTTTTTTTTTTTTTAAAATTAAAATTTTTTTTTTTATTTTTTTATTTTTCGTTTAATTATTTTTTTTTCATTTTTAATTTTATATAATAATTGATTCTGTAATAATAATGATTAGATTAAAAAATTTTAATAATATAAATAATATTCGTAGTTTTTGTACACAGTCTATAAATAAACCATTAGTAAATCTAAAAACATCGATTGAAGAAATTAATTTCGATGAAAAAAGAAAAGTAACAGTTTTTAGTGGTATGCAACCAACAAGTGCAGCATTACATTTAGGAAATTATTTAGGTGCAATGGATAATTGGTTAAAGATTCAAGACTTAATTGCAAAGCATAATGAGGTTTCACCAGGCCATAAATTAATTTTTTCAATTGTAGATTTACACTCCTTGACAGCAACTAAAACTTTATCACCAAAAGAACTACATTCAAATACATTATCTGTTGCCATTAATTATTTAGCATCTGGAATTGACCCACAAAAAGTTATATTGTTTAATCAATCTATGGTAGCAGCACATTCAGAATTAACATGGATATTTAATTGTATTGCATCATTTTCAAAATTATCAACAATGGTCCAATTTAAAGTAATTATTATATTTATCCCTATTATTATTATTATTATTATTATTTATTGTATTATAGGTATTAACTAATTTTAAATTTAGGAAAAAAGTAAATCAAATAGTCAATCAATTTCAAATGGATTATTATCATATCCAGTTTTAATGGCAGCAGATATTTTATTATATAGGGCAACTCATGTTCCAGTTGGTGATGATCAAACACAACATATCGAATTCACTAGAGAAATTGTAAATTCTTTTCATCATACTTATAAAAAGAAATATTTCCCATTACCAACAATTATTAGTTCAGAAACATCAAAGAGAATTATGAGTTTACAAGATGGTAGAGTTAAAATGAGTAAGTCAGACCCATCGGATTTATCAAGAATATCTTTAACTGACACAGACGAAATGATCCAAATGAAAATTAAAAAATCAAAAACAGATTCAATAATAGGTATTTCTTATGATATTCAAAATAGACCAGATATTTCAAATCTTTTATCAATTGCCTCAGTAACTTCAGGAGTTTCAATTGCAGATTTAGAAAAAGAATTTAAAGATAAACAAAACTCCCATTTCAAAGATTTTGTATCACAATCAATTATAAGTAAAGTTAAACCAATAAGAGAAAAAATAAATTATTATCAAGCAAATGAAAAAATTGTAAGGGATATTTTATTAGAAGGTAGTGATAAAGCAAATCAAATTGCAATAAATAATTTAAAACAAATTAAAGATATAATTGGTTTATATCATTAAATAAAATAATAATAATAATAATAATAATAATAATATTTAAACTCAATATAAATCCTTTTTTTTTATTTTAAAATATTAGTTTTTTTTTTTTTATTTAAAATTTTTTTTTATTCTTTCTTATCTTTATCTTTATTTTTATTTTTATCTTTTTCTATATTATTTAAATCTGGCACTAAACAATTTTCTTTTGCTAGTTTTTTATCTTCTATTAAATTATTACATTTTTTATCATCTTTAATAGACTTTTGTTTTTCTAAAAGATCATTATTATGTACAACTGATTTACATAAACAATCTTTACTATCATTATTTACAAAGTTATTTTTAATATCATTGTTTGTATTATTGTTATTTGTACTATTATTAATATTGTTATCTATATTATTATTATCTAAATTATTATTATTATTATTGCTTATAATATTATCATTTATCTTGGAGTTGTTATTATTATTGTTATCATTATTATTGTCATTATTATTTAAAGTGTTATTTATATTTGATAAAATTGCATCTAGATTTAAATGTTTGGGTGAGTTTGTATTAAATTCTTCTTCTTCTTCTTCTTCATCAGAATTATCATTTTCATAATCTTTTAATTGTAATTCACTTTCTTCTGTAATGGATTGATGGCTATTGTCTTCATCTCTTATTACTTTATTTGAAACTCCTTTATTTAATTCCTCTATTTGTTCAAAAGACATAATAGGTGTTTCAGTATCCTCTCCATTATAATAATAGTTGTTATCTGGTGAAAATGAATAGGTTTTTTTATAAATTTTTGAACAGTTTTCGCAACCTAAATTATTATTTTCAATATTTAAAACCTGAATACCACCTGGGAAATCTGGATAAATACAATGTTGATGTGATTGCTTTCTATTAAATATTGATGGTTGAATTCTAGATCGAGAATAGTCTTTTCTAAGTGTAAATTCACTTTCTTTTTTACCCATTAAATACCATGTTTTCATTCTTCCTTTTCCTTTGACATGAATAATATCGCAACGTTCAGAGAAATCAAAGTCATCTTTACCCAATTGATATACCCTATCCGAAACATGAATTTGACCTGCAATACCAGTGGACTCCATACGTGATGCAACATTAACGGTATCACCCCATACATCAAAGTGTGGTTTGGCATATCCTGAAATAACACCACTAATAACTGGACCACAATGAACACCTACTCTAACTTGTAAACCAAGATGGAAGCTCATTTCTTTTGGTATAGATTCTAAAACATCAAGTGCAAACTCTAACATACGATAAGTGTTGTGTCTTATATCATCTGACTTTGGAAATATACCACATGTAGCCATATAAGCATCACCAATAGTTTTGATTTTTTCAATGCCATGCTTTGCACATAATAAATCCATAGAGTTGAAAATTTTAATGAGCACTTGAATAACTTGTTCTGGACTATGAATTGAAGAGAATCTAGTGAAACCTGCAATATCTAAAAAGAATACACAGGCATTATTTGAACGCTCAGCGACTACATCTTCACCATTTTCTAACTTGACTGATACTTCTAATGGTAATATTTTGTTTATTAAATTGTTCTTTTCTCTCATAATTTTGGCAATTAATGATTTTTGTTTACGTTGATCCATTAAATATATTACCAATAATATTAAAATTACACCTGATATTATTGATATCAATAGAGGAAGATAGGTCTTTGAATTGTTTTCGTATTCTTCGGTTGTAAATGCCCATAGCTTAAAAACACAATCGGCAACTTTTAAACTGGTTTCATATTTCAATCTATCTTGAAAGAGTTTGGAATCATGAACTTCTTTTAATGTTTTGAAATTTAAATAGGATTCTTGATAAACCAATTCCCCTTCAAATGTAGATAAAAATAATGTAAAGTCATTACCTTGTTCTACCTCTACTCTTGATGCTTCTACATTCTTTTCAATTAAAAATAAACCAGCAGAAATATGAGTACATTCATCATCATTTGATTTTTTTACCAATGTTAAATTTTCTATTGTTGTCGAAATTAATGGTGAAGTTGCTTGAGGTGGTGAAGGTGTTTGAGGATTTGTAAATTGTGATGTATCATTGGTAGTTTTTGATAAAATTGGATTTATAATTAAAATATCTATATTTCTTTTACTTAGAATAACCTTTCTGCTTAAATGTACTGTTGGTCTTTTATTTATAATGGCTTTATTAATAGTTTCCTTCATATAATTTGTAGAGTTTATATCTAATCCAATAATATCCTAATAATAAAAAAAATATTAATAAAATATAATAATTTTTTAAATCTAAACATAAATAAACAATTACTTTGCTTAGAGTTGGAAAAGCATGAACTATTGGATAATAAGATTTTTTATGGTTTGCAACTTCTATTGAATTTGTATCTTCATTAAATGAAAATATTTGAAATTTATTTTTTGTTTGAAATGAAAAATCTTGTTCAAATTGTTTTCTTTCTTCATCTTTGACTCTTTCAACCCAAAACAGATACTGAAACTCTGAATTTTTTAATGTTGTATTTAAAAAGATATTAAAATCTTTTCTTTTAAAGTTTGGATTTACGTAATACAATGCCTTAATTTTAAATAAAAAATTTTAAATTAGTAAAAAATAAATATTAGTTTTATTTTTAAAAAAAACAATTACCTTTAAAGTATCTATCGATGATAATAAATACATTGCATTCATTTGAATGTTATGAACTATTTGCTTTGAAGCTCTTTCTAAATCCATTTGGATATTTGAATTTTCCTCTTCGGTGTAATGTATAAATGAAAACAGACAAACAATAACACCAAATACTAAAAGAATTATGATCCCAAAGAAGAATCCAATCGGATACCCTTCAATATAAGATTTAGAAAATAGTTTAAAAAATGTTTTCTTCATTTTTTTATTTTATCTTACAATACAATACATGAATATAAATTTATAATATTTATAAAAAAAAAAAAAAAACAAAATAAATATAAATAAATGAAAAAAAAATATTTATAGATAGGATAATATCGGTTTTTTTCTTTAAAAAAAATGTAAAAAAAATATATGGTTTCTTTTTAAATAAATAATAAATACAATGGGTTTTTAATCTATAAAAATTATTTTTTTTTTTTTTTTTTTTTCTATTGTATTTATTTGAAAATAATTATATATTATTTAAAATCAGTTATTATTTATTTTATAAATTATAATGTAAGAGGAGATTGTTATTGTTTAAAAAATAAAAAATAAAAAATAATAAAAAACATGACCTATTTTATTTTTTTTATTTTTATTTTTATTTATATTTTTTTTTAATTTTTATTATATTATAATATTATTATTGTTATTATTATTTTATTATTATTTTATTATTATTATATTTTTAAATAAAAATTAATTATAGAATTAAAAATAAAAAAATAAAAAAATAAAATTAAAAATTAATTTTTCTAAAATAGGTTAAATATATTTTTAATTTTAAATTTCTATTTTTTATAGATTTACAATGGTTTTCGCATTATTTTTAAGATATCTTTAAAAAAAAAAAAAAAAATAATATTTAAAATAAAAATAAAAAGGGTAATATTCTAAAATTACCTTTTTTAATGGTACCAATGAATCTACCTTTATTCATTTCTGTTGTCCATATAAAAGAATCCAAGTTTTTTTTTTAGTGTATATGAAAAATCAAAAAAAAACTCTTTTTATATTTATTGTATGATTTTTCTATTAAATTTATTTACAAAATTAATTACTCTTTTTTCTTTTTCGTTTGACGAGATTATTTTTTTTTTTTTGTCCTTTTAAAACTATACGGTTATTTTATAAAACTATTGTTTGAACTTTATTATTAAATATAATTATTATTATTATTATTATTATATTTATTAAAATAGCTATTTAATTATTAATAAAATTATTATTTTTAATTATTTTTAATTATTTCATTTATATATTTTCCTCTATTATTAAATGTGGTAAAATTTGGTCTGTTATCGAATGAGTCATAACTCCTATAAATAATAAAATTAAAAATGATTAATTATCTATAATTGTTGAGTTGGGTAATAAGGTTGTATTCTATTTACTTTTTAGCTAAATGAGTTGATGCTTTAATTGGAATTAAATTTTGTGAATTAATGATACCCCATGAAAACAATAATAATGAAATTATACATTCTACGATTATCTATAAATATAATTATAATTTGTTAATAATAATGATTTGAAAAACAAATGATTAAAAATATATATTACATCTAATGGTACACCTTCAAATGGTTGATCTGTTAATCTTAAATATTTTCTATCTAAAACAATTGAATAAAATATTGCAGTTAGTGAATCTATTTTTATTTTTATCTTTTTATAAAATTAAACCTACGTTGAAGAACTGAATAAATAGTATGTAAAAATAAACCAATACCTATAATTCCACTTAATTTTGCTACTCCTTTCATTATATATTAATTAAATTCATGTGATGAACTGTTATTATTTGAACAAAAAAAAAATAAAAAATTTAAAAAAAATTTAAAAAAATTAATTTTTTTTCTTTTTTTTTTTTTTTTTTTTTAATTTTATTTTATTATTTTTTAAAATTATATTTATCACAATCATTGTATATTCATAGCTAAAGTTTTTGTTCAAAATCAATTACATAGTTTTATATAAAGATGTCAAACAAATTCAATATTACTATAAAATCAGTTGACATGCAAGGTATGATCACCCATTGTTTCTTTGAATGAGCCAACCAAATAAACTAATTTTTATTCTTTTATATAGAGTTTATGCAACAAGATGCAACCGAATTAGCAATTAAATTATTAGAAGAACAAACACCACACAAAGATATAGCTACGATTATTAAAAAAGGTATTTATCAATTTAATATAATTTAATAATAATAATAATAATAATAATAGAGTATAATACTTATATTCAATTCTTTATTTTTGGTTTTTAGAATTTGATAAAAAATATTTAGGAAACTGGCATTGTATTGTAGGAAAAAGTTTTGCTTCATTTGTAACTCACGAAACCAAAAGTTATATTTATTTCAATATTAATGATAATTCAATACTTTTATTTAAATCTGGTTAAAAAATAAAGAATAAAATATAAAATATATAAATTGTAAAAAAAAGTATTTATAAAAGTTTAAAAAAAAAAAAAATGTTTTTTTTTTTAGTTTATAACATTTATTAATTTAAATTTAAATTTTATTGATTTAATTTATTTAATTTATTTATTTAATTTTTTGTGTGATAAAACTACATTATCTGGAAAAGCTACAACAATTGAATTGTCCCTATAACATTTAAATTGTTCATCAACAATTTCGGTTGAAAATTCTTTAATTTGGTAAACATCCAAAATATTCTGTTTAATTTTTCTAAAATTCCAAGTGATAAGGAAACGACCACTACTAGTAAGAATAAATGTTTCTTGATCATCACCTTCGGCTTGGTTGAATCTAGCTGGAGCAAATTCAACATTACCACCCAATCTTTTGATATCAGCAGCTTTAAGGATTAAACGCTTTGGTAATGGACGACGAGCACCCAAACGATCTTCAAATGCACTACTGCCATCCTTTAATTGAGCTGGAATGACCATGATATATTTTTTACAAGTAGCTACTACCCATCTACCATCTTTTGTTATATCCATTCCAATAATTTCGTCACCAATACCTGGAAGAGTTGTACGAGATCTTGCAATAGCACCCAATGGATCATCTGAAGTAGTTGAACGTTTATTTGCATCGAATTGAGTTTTACTAAACATTTTAATTTCACCTTTTGAAGTACCAATTGCAAGTTGGCCATTTTCAGTAGTGGCTGCACATCTATAAACCGATTTTGGATTAGCCCCACCATGGAATTTGGTAACAACTTTATTTTTAGATTCACGTGGATCAACCATGAATATGCTATTACCATTATATCCGAGGAAAATAGAGTTATTGGTTAACTCATCATTCTTATATTGTGGTGCAATCGAAGTAGTTGTTGTATCTTGACCTCTCCATTTCATATCCCATTCTTCGACAATATCTGGTCTATTTAAATCCATCTTGTAAACATTTGACGCCTTATCTGGGTTTAACATTAATAAATCGTTGTCTTGTTTTTGAAGCATTAATTTCTTTGGAGAAAAATTTTGACCATTTTTAGTTTTAATATTGGTAATTGCATTCTTGAATTTAATATTTGAATCATCATTATTAAATACACCAATAGTTGATCCTCTTACTACATATGATTGATCTTTGTAACCAACAAGTAATGAGCTATTCTTTGATTTACTAAAATCTCTTGTAATTTGTTTTTTAGTTGTTTTATCAATTGGTTCTGAATCAGATTCCGATTCTTCCTCACTTTCGTCTGACTCTGATTCTGATTCTTCTTCCTCTTCAGATGATGATTCAACTTTAATTAAATCTTTTCTTATTGGTTTTCTATATGGAGCTTTAAATACTTTTTCAACATCCTCTGATTCTTCTGATTCTTCTGATTCTTCTGATTCTTCTGATTCTTCTGATTCTTCTGATTCTTCTTCAGATGACTCTTCTAACTCTCCTTCTTTTGATTCCTCTTCTTCTGATTCCTCTTCTTCTGATTCCTCTTCTTCTGACTCTTCTTCTTCTGATTCTTCCTCTGATTCTTCCTCTTCTGATTCTTCTTGAGATTGATGCTTTTGTTCATTTTTAACTTGGTCTTCTAATTCTTTTAATTGGTCAATATATTCTTTATGGTCAGATTCTGATAAAATGTCAGCAACTGAATTTGAATCATTAATATCCAAGTTGTCAAAATCTTCCAAATCCTTGGCATTAAAACCATCATCTGTATCAAATACAATTTCATCATCTTGGTGATCTTCAGTTAAAATATTTGCCATATATTCAATTTCATCCTTTTTACCTTTAAATTTGGTTTGATTAACAGTTTCATAATGAATTATGGTAAATTTATTTCTAAAGTCTTCATATTCTTCGACTAGTGAAAATTTAATACTCCATCTGTTTGAATTGGTTCCTAATTCAGCTAACCAAATAAATGAAATTTGTTCCTAATTTTTAAAAAAATATATTTAAAATTAAATTTTAATTAGTATTGATATTATTAGTAAAAAACCAAAAGCCTAATACCATTTACTTACATTAAAGAATTGTGGGTACATATTTGTGTCGATAATTTGTGAAAAAATTGGTGAATTATTTAACAATAAATAAAAGGTATACTCGATTGGGTCATTTGAGGTTTTATTTAATAATACAGTGACATTTGGTTCTTTGATGTTAAATCTACCATCTGTTTCAATATAAAGTGCTACTTCACAACGATATAACTCTTGACCGGTTACTGGTAATACTTTTACAAATGAAATATTTTGATTACTGGAATTTTCATTGAGATCTGATGTTGGGTAAAATGCTTTGGTATCTTCTTCTTCTTCTTCTTCCTCTTCTTCCTCTTGCTGTTTTTGCAATTTACTTAAATCAATTCTTTCTGCTTGAATTGTGTCTATATTTGTTTTTAATGGTGCTCTGACAATAGTTTGAGTTTCTTTACAATAATTTTCTATTTCATTTTCACTACCATTTGTGTATGATGTTAAATAAATTGATTCGTAAATACAACCACATAAAATTTTTCTTAATTTTTCTTTATTATCCTCGCCGTTGTTATTATTATTATTATTATTTTCATCAAATTCAAATAAGAATCTTGTGTTGGTACCTTTCCAACTTAATGAATAATTTCCTAGTGGTCCAATTTCTTTAAATAAATCTAAACCAACTGTAACTGGAAATTCATAATAATTGATTTGAGATTCTTCATCTTCGTCTTCTTGACCACCTTCCAACTCTCTTTGTTTCCTTCTTTCATTTTCTTGTTCTTGATCAACAATTCTTGTTACTTGAATTTGGTATCTAAAATTTTCAATTTTATGAATAACCAACTCACAGTCATTGAATCTAAAAGTATAAAATAACATTAGTAAATAATATAAAAAATATCTAAAAAAAAAAAAAAAAAAACATACAAACAAACCCATTGTCCTCTATAAAAATGATAAAAATATCCAGTTACTTCAATTAAATTTGAAGACTGATTTGAAAAAAAACTTGTAATTCTTTTAAATAGTGACATTATTATTATATATATTCAAATAAATATTATATATTAATTAATGTATAAAAAAATAATGGTGTGTGGGCGCTTTTTTTTTTTTTATTAAAAAATTTTCAAAAATAAAAAAAATAAATAAAAAAAAATAAAAAAAAATAAATTAAAAAAATTTTATTATAATAAATATTAATAAAAATAAAAAAAAAATAAAAAATAATAAATACTTAGGAAAAAGGAAAAAAAAAGAATTAATAACTAAAAAATAATAAAAAAATAAAAAATAAAAAAATTAACTTTGTGAGATACAAATAAAAAAAAAAAATTATTATTTTAATTTATATGAAAAAATTTTAATTAAAAATTTTTATTATTTGAAAATGATTTAAAAAAAATAAATAAAAATAATATGATTCGAATTTTTAATTGTTGTGAAAATATCTAGACCTATATATTTTATTATTACTATTATTACTATTAAATTTTTTTTTTTTTTTTTTTTTTTTTATATATAATTGTAATTTGAAATTTTTATCTAATTGTTACTGGTTTATTTAAAGCTTCATCGATGAGGAATTTACCATCTTCAAATTTATCATCACCATACCAAAAAATTGTAAAGTTTAAATCTGGTCTGAATGAACCTTGACAACGTTGGAAATACCATGGATTTAAAGGATTGCTATTTCTTGATCTCCAATATAGCTTTTCGTTATCTCTTTGTAATACTCTCCAAATAAGATCACCTAAACCCAAACCTTGAGCAGATTTTCTAACACAGAATTTACAAAGATATGGGATGTAGTCTGGCTCTTTGAATGTTACAATAGCACAACCATTATATCCACCATCAGAGGATATACATAGATAAAGTTTATAGAGTGAGTCTTTGAGATAATCAAAATAATCGAGTGAAAGTTTTTTTCCAAAACTATCTTCAATAAGTTCACGAAGTTTTGGCATATCGATATTATGGTAACTACTGCTATCGTAAATTAAAACTTTGTTATCTTCAGACTTTTTGATGATGGTACCATTAGCAAGACGAGGGAATAAAAGTTGATGAGTAATATTTTCGATGGATGTAACTACTACAGTGGTTGAGGATGACAAATGCGATACAATTCTTTTCATTTGTTTTAATTGTACACGTCTACGATTGGTGGTGTGGTCTGCCTCGACAAGTGTTTTATAATCTTGATCCATGTATACAACTGGAATAGCTTTATGATCAGCATCTAAAATACCACCATCATTACAGGCAAAAACGATTTTATAAGGTTGGATACGTTTAGCCAATTCGAATGTTGTAACATCTGAATTAATTGGAATGTCAACACCATCAATAGACTCTGCAACACTATCCCAAATTGGAATTTTACCTTTATCTAGAGCCTGTGTGAGAATATCGTAATCGAAAGAGTCAATCTTCATATTAAGACCACCTGATGGAAGTACATCACTCTGACCATACTCTTGTTCTTCTTCGGATAGATCCGAGTTATTTTCTGATGAGTTATTACTATTTGGTTGGACATATGGTTCGATTTCACAAATGTCAGGAGTTAAAACGGTACAACCTACACCATTCTTTTTGATAGCTTCTTTAAGGAGTGCACTTCTCATTCTACGTTCTCTGACCACCTCTGATATTGGAAGTTTAGATATATCGTTCATACCTCCGTGAATTACAATGGGGTATAAACCGAATTTGTACATAAAGCAAAGTGATGATGCAGCGCTATCAATACCATATTGAGTATCAAGAATACGACGTGAAATCTTAACAATAGCAATTTTCTTTGAAGCTGAGCCACTGAAATTCTTTAACCAATTGTGTACATCTTTAATATCCTTTACAGATCTTAAAAAGTCTTCAAATTCTTTTTTACTTTGAAGGTTGGCTTCGAAACGGAGTGTATCTTCGGATGATTGGAAGAGAGTTTGTTCACTATTAACACGACGAATTTCTGAAATTGGTTTTGGTATTAACGATGGTAATACTGAAATTGAATCAGAACGGTGACGCATTTGTTGCAATTGTTGCTGTTGTTGCTGTAATAGACTATTATGTTGATTTAATGAATTTGAATTAAATAAATTAATATTTTCTTGTGACATTTGATAATGACCCAATTTAAAATCATTTGGATTTAAGTTATTATTCCAATCCAACATATTTTTTTCATCGGAAAAAGTGACTCTTGAACCAGTAGAAGCATCACTCTTTAAAGATAAATTGTCATCAGAGCCATTATTGTTATTATCTAATTGATCAAATGCTGAAATTGAATTTCTATGTTTTAAATTAATTCTTTCCAAAGTTGAACTAATTGCATCTGGACTACCAAATAGATGATGGTGTTGTTGAGATTGATCATTGTGTTGATTTATAATATCGTTATCATCAACAGTTGTCAACTTAATTGTTGGTGTTGCAGTAACAGGAATTTGATCAGGGATAAGGGTAGAAGGGAATGATTTAATAATATCTTCATCTTTATCACGTATAGCGGCGACCTCGGCTGATTTTTGATGTAATTGGTTTTGTAGTTGTTGGTGTAATAACTTTTCTTTGATTGAATGATTTGGACTAAGAGCACTATTTGTATTATTCAATTGTCTATGATTCTTTAAAATTGAACTTATGCCAGGTGTTGATGATGATAATGAAAATCTTCTTTGATGCTTTAAAACTAATGGTGAAGATTTTGTGTGGGCAACTGGAATTGTGCCAATGGCTTGTGGTGAGGGTGGTGAATTTGGTACTTCAAGTTGATCAGTTGAGTTTGCTGAACCAGTTAGATTTGGTGAACTACTTGATTTATTCTTTTTCTTTTTTTGTGACTTTCTTTTTTTCTATAATAAAATAATAATATTAATATATAAAAATTAAATTGGTATTAAAAAAAAAATTAAAATATTACCTTTAATTTTGAATAACTTTGTTGAGAACCTCCAATATTTCTACCTTTAGCTTTTAAAAGCTCTAATTGAACCCAAGCAAATAAAGTTAAAAGCTTTTCTACGAAAAGCAATGGAAGAAATGAAATGAAAAATATTAATGATTTATGAAAGAATCCTGAGAATGAGTAAAAGTTAATTGCTTCTTCATCTGGGTCAATAATTCTTTGATATGAATTGGATGGTGTTAATATTGGTGACTTTTTGGTTTTATTATTGGTTTGGTTATTATCACTACCAACGCTATTATTATTTGATTCTTTTGTTGAATTTAAACTATTTATATTACTATTATTATCTTGGTGATTATTTAAATAGTTTTTAGTTAAAATGTGACCAGCTTTTAATTCACTAAAATGTGGAAATCCTTGATTAGGATTATGATTTTGAGAGAGAGGGTTATTTGATGGTGAACTTGTTGAGTTTATTGATTTTGGGTTATTATTAATAGTTTTACTATTATTATTATTAACTGATAAATTATTATTTTCGGTGTTTAATTGTGATCGGCTTGATAAAGTTTTTTTCATCATGTATTTTGTATGAATAACAAACTAAAATAGCTGCAATAGAAGAAAACTTTTTTTTTTTTTTTGTTTATTACTTAAAAAATTATTATTATTATTATTATTATTATTATTATTATTGTTATTTTATAACTAATTATTAATTATTGTGGTTATTATTTTTTTTTTTTTTTTTTTTTTTTTACTTATATTACTATCTAATAAATTGTTTTTAAAATTTTATTGCTTTATTTTCTGTATTCCTGTTGAATTTTAAAATTAATAAATTTGAACTTGATATTAAAATTTTTATATTTTTATATATTTTTATATATTTATATATTTATATATCTATTATTAAATAAATCTATGCTGGTAATAGATCGGAGAAATAAAAAACAACCATTACTCTGACATAAAAAAAAAGATATAAAAATTGTTATCGGAGAGGATTATTACGAAATAAAAAGTTTGTTTTGAATATTATTTTTATTTTGAACTATTATTATTTTTATTATTATTATTTATATTATTATTATTTATAGAGAAAATAAATAAAATTTTATTATAGATTTGAAAGATTATTTTTGATTTTTTTTTTTTTTTTAAAAAATAAATAATAAATTTTTAATAAAATAAATATATAAATAAATAAAAAATGAATTTATAATAAATATATAAAATAATAAAAATTATTTTAAAAAAAACTATCAATTAAAATAATAAAAATAAACCTTGATGTTTTTCATACTTTAAGATTCCATATATAGATATTATTATAGAATTTGTATACAATACCAATCGAGCTATTTATGTAGTATTTATTATTGTGTGTGATCACATTAAATTATTATTATAGAAAAAAAATATGTATGGGGGTATTCAATAGTTTGAAAAAAAAAAAAAATAAAGTATATACACAATTGGGTGTGTGTGCTAATACGTGTGGTATAATATTGTTATTTTTGTGTGTGAACTATTTTAATTTCTTTTAATTGTGAGATATTAAAATTTTTCAAAAAAAAATTTAAATTTTAAAAATTATAAAAATAATAAAACTTGAATTAATTTTATTCTTTTTTTTTTTAAAAATAGATTTTTTTTTTTTTTTTTTTTTAGGTGGCCCAAAAATTAGAGTTATTTTTATTATTTGTGAATAAAAAATTTTTTTTTGAAGTAAAAATAAAGTTGGACCCCCCCCCTAAAAATATAAAAAAAAATATTAAGTCCTTTTTTTTTTTTTTTTTGGTATTAAACCGTTTTTTTGAGTTTTGAAAGTTTTTTTTTTTTTTTTTTATTTTAAACTGGTAATAATCTATGAATCAATATTTGGTTAAATTCGAATTTAAAAAAAAAAAAAAAAAAAAAAGTTTAAATAACAAAAAAAAAAAATAATTGTATTTAAAAAAAAAAATAAAATAAAATAAAATAAAATAAAAAATAATTTTATTTATTTTAATTTTTTTTTTAAATAATTAATGAACGAGTGTTAAAAAATACGAAAAGTGATTATTATAATAATCTTTATTATAACTATATAATTATAAAATTATTATAATTTTATCTTTTTTTTTTTTTTTTAAAAATAATTTTTTTGAGGTTTTATCATATGCACCTGCCTTATATGAAAAAAAAAACAAAAATAATTGTGCAAATTAAGCAACAAGCAAGTGTGACATGTGATTAACTTTTAATTTCTAACTACTATTCTTCCCATTGATTGAATTATTAATCCAAATCAATAAAATAAAAAAAAAAAAATAAAAAAAAAAATAAAAAAAAATAAAAATAAAAATAAAAATAATAAAACTATAGTTTTTTTAATCTTTACAAAATAAGAATTATTTTTCGTTTCTTTTTCTTTTTCTTTTTTTTTTTTTTATAATTATAAATAATAAATTATTATTATTTTTGTGGTTGATTATTGGGGGATATTACGAACAAAAACAAAAAAAAAATAAAAAAAAATAAAAGATACGAAAGAAAATAAAAACAAATTATTTGAAATCTATGGGTTTATATATATAATTAAATTTAATTCTTTTTTTTTTTTCTTTTCTTTTTTTTTTTTTTTTATATTTTTTTTCTTTTTTTTTTTTTTCTTTTTTTTTTTTTTTTGTTTGTTGTTTTAATATATAAAAATAATTATATAATATAATCAAATAATGTTTTTATTTACCTCTACTCTCTCGCAATCCTTGAGAACTTTTTTTTTTTAAAAAAAATATATATACAATTTAGTGTATATATATAAAAAATAGACCAATTTCAACACGGTATCACTTTCAAAATTATTTGTTTATTTCTAACACTTTAAAAGTTTGAAAAAAAAAAAAAAAAAAAAA